AAGGTGGAGGTGTCTGTTTTTACATACATAACAGTGGCTGGTGTAACAATGTGACAGTGATTCAGCAACACTGTTCTCATGACCTGGAATATTTATTGATACACCATTTTACTCTCCCCGCGAGATTGCTAGCTACTTTCTGCTTGGTGTTTACATCGCAGGCCAACGTGCACGACGCACAGTGCACGCGGGCCGATCAGATACTGTGGGTAGAGTAGACATTCCCGGATTCCTTAGTTATTGTTCTTGGTGACTTTAACAAAGGAAACCTCAGACATGAACTCCCCAAATACAGACAGTTCATAAAGTGTCAGAGTGGGGAACACTTTGGATCACTGCTCCACCACAGTAAGCAGTGCCTATCACACCGTCCCTCGAGCTCCACTGGGACACTTTGACCACACCATGGTTCACTTGATTCCTGCATACAGACAGAAACTAAAAATCTGTAAACCTGTGGTGAGGACATCAAAGCAGTGGACCAGTGCTGTAGAGAACCTCCAGGCGTGTTTGGACTGCACTGACCGGGATGGTTTCAGGACTGCTACCAACAATCTGGATGAGTATACAGAGGCTGTGACATTCTACATCAGTTTTCTGTAGGACAGCTGCATTCCAACATGGACCAGGGTGAGTTATAACAATGGCAAAACCTGGTTCACAGCTAAGCTCAGGCAGCTGAGGTTGGAAAAGGAAGAGGCGTTTAGGAGTGGCGACCGGGGCCAGATTTAAGGAGTCAAAGTACAGGTTTAACCCCCCTCTCTTACCATCCGGGAGAGGGATTTCAACAGACCGTTCAGGAGGCAGAAACCTCGCAAAGCAGCTGGGCCGGACTCTGTCTCCACATCCACCCTGAAGCACTGTGCTGGTCAGCTGTCTCTGGTGTTCACAGACATTTTTAACCGAGTCCGGGAATGTCCGCTCTACCCACAGTATCTGATCGGCCCGCATGCACTGTGCCTCTTGCACGTTGGACTGAGGTGCGATGCAAACACAGAGCAGAAAGTAGCTAGCAAACTAATGGGGGGAGTAGAATGGCTTACAATGTATCAATAAATATTCCAGGTCATCAGAACAGTAATGCTGAATCACTGTCACATCATTACACCAGCCACTGTTAATGTAAAAACAGACACCTCCACCTTTTGTTTTGCCAGAGAGTTCCATGTCGCAGTCCGCTCTGTAGACCTGGAAGCCAGCCAGCTGCAGCGCAGAGTCCGGTATTGATCCAGACAGCCACGTCTCAGTGAAGCACAGAACAGAAGATGAGTAAAAGTCTCTGTTTTTCCCCACCAGTAGTTTGTCCATTTTATTGCACAGTGAGCACACGTTTGGAGAGAAATTTTCCCGGTAGCGGTGTGCGGTGTCCTCTTTGGCGTAGTCGCACCAGTGTGCTGGACCTTCTCCCACTCCTCCGGCGTCTCACTGCATGAACAGTGGAAAGTGAAGCCAGAATGACCAATAATTCCACTGATGACACAAGAAAAGTTGGAATTAAATCCACTGGCGTTGTTCCCCTGATGTTTATGAGCTCTTCTCTGGTGAAAGGGCTCCGGGTATCACAGCAGAATGCAAAGTTAACAAATGTAAACAAAACAGAGAGCACCAAAATACCACGGCTGCCCTGAGCTGCGCCATCTTTCAAGAACGTGCTTGACTCCACCTTCAGGTGGATCACAGACTTCCTCACAGACAGGAAGAAGCACGTTAAGCATGTCTCTGACTCCAGGACCCTCAGCACCGGTTCCCCTCAGGGCTGCGTTCCCCTCTGCTCTTCTCCCTGTACACCAACAGCTGCACCTCCAGTCACCAGTCTGTTAAGCTCCTGAAGTTTGCGGATGACACCACCCTCATTGGGCTCATCTCAGGTGTGGATGAGTCTGCCTACAGGTGGGAGATTGAGCATCTGGTGAACTGGTGAGGCCAGAACAGTCTGGAGCTCAACCCTCTGAAGACAGTGGAGAAGGTCGCAGATTATAGAATGAGCCCAGCCCCACACTCCCTCATCATCCTGGGTGACTCCGCAGTCACCACTGTGGACTCCTTCCACTTCCTGGGCACCATCATCTCCCAGGACCTCAAGTGGGAGCTGAACTTCACCTCCATCACCAAGAAGGCCCAGCAGAGGATGTACTTCCTGCGGCAGCTAAAAATCAGCCTGCCAAAGACAATGATTGAGTCCATCCTCACCTCCTCCATCACCATCTAGTATGCTGCTGCCACCGCCAAGGACAAGGGCAGGCTGCAGCGTATCGTTTGGTCTACCGAGAAGGTGAGTGGTTGTTACCTTCCATCTCTTCAGGACCTGTGTGCCTCCAGGACTCTGAGGTGTGCAGGAAAGATTGCAGCTGACCCCTCCCATCCCGGACACAAACTGTTTGAGACTCTCCCCTCTGGCAGGAGGCTGCATCAGGACCAAAACCTCTGGCCACAAGAACAGTTTCTTTCTGATGGCAGTGGGCTTCCTCATCAAGGCCCAGATCCCCACTGTCACTGACTTTCATACTACCTTCCACAAATACACACACACACACACACACACACACACACACACACTCATACACTCTCCTGACCCAACACTTTACAACAACACTCAACTATGCTTGATACTCATGTTGTGAACTTTTTCACATAATGAAAAGCATTGTATTATAGTATTATTGGATTTTGATTCTGATCTACAGCACTGACCTTTGACCCAGAGAACCACTTGTTTCTTCATCAGGACGTCTCCCCTCCTGCTGTAGATGGTGCAGATGTAGGTGTTACTGTCTCTGTCTGTGGGGTATTTCAGGGTCAGACTGAGGTCTCCAGTTCTCAGCCAGTTTCTCTTCATCTCTGTTCGGTCCCTGTAAAAACTGTCCTGTTCTTCAGGCTGGTCAGAGCTGTTCTGATACACGTGGACCTTGTTGTAACTGTCCGTCCACTCCACTGTGACATCTTTAGGCAGGTGAACTGTGGTTTTGCAGGGCAGCTGGACAGACTCCACCCCTGAATCCACCTCCACCTGGTAGACTGAGAGGACAACAACATCAGCTGTACAGACAGCAGCAGGAACTCTGAAATATGTCCCATTGTTCCATCTAACAGAGACAGTGTTGTCTTTGGTGTCTCTACAATCAACAGCACAACTGACTGTTTATTAAATCACTGGGTATTATTGTCAGATGGACTCAATCAAATCTTTATTAAAGTTAGAATCTGAAGGTTTTCATTAAATAAATGTCTGTTCAGTCACTATCTATCGTCAAATAAGGTAACACAGTGGTGACTGAGCCTGTGGCCCACTGATCAAAGTGCTGCAGTATTTAGATATTTGCAGTATTACCAAGTGAAAAACTGCAGTATTAAGTTGCTGCTAATGCAAAGTGAACATTTCCTGCTGCTGCAGCTTCATATTAAAAGCATCTAGTATGAAGTATCTGTCAAACAAACTAAAATAGAAAGCGCAATATGGCTTTGTTCCCTTATGAAATTGCAAAAGACTGCAATTTAATTAAATAAGTATAAATAAGTTGTTTTAATAGGTTAAAAAGTAACTAAGTAACTTTTGCTCTGAGTAAATTTTAAATGAGCTACTTTTTACTTGAGTAGATTTCTATACCAGTAACTTTATTTGTACTTCATCAAAGAAAATGTACTTTTACTATTTCCACCTCTGGTTTCTTCATTTGGGATCGTAGAATAGGATTTGTGCAGCTGCAGTAAAGAACTTGAGAAGAGTAGTAGTTGTATTTGTGGAGAGAGAATTTTTCTTTTCTCTCTGACTTCAGTATCACTGAAACAGCTCGTATGCTGGAAGTGTAGCAGTAGTGACATACCTGACATGAAATACTGCTGGAAATGTACCAGAAGACCCCCAGCAGCAACAAGACCAGCAACCAGGAGAACCAGGAGAACCAGGAGAACTTTGGCCCAGGATGGAAATCGTTCTGTGGGAACCAGAAACATAAAGAACATGACCTCTGACCTCTGACCTGTATCTACAGCAGGTATTAGGGTTTGTTGCTGACCTTTGACCTGCAGCTGTATCTCTGTCACTCTCTGTTCTCCCCTAGAGTCTCTGACGGTGCAGGTGTAGCTGCCGCTGTCAGAGAGCTGGAGTTTTGTCAGAGTGAGGCTGAGGTCTCCAGTTTCAAGAGCGTCAGTCATCATGGATGTTCGGCCGCTGTAAAGCTGGTTTTGGTCTTTAAGTTCATCACCTTCCTGCTGACGCTGGTGGACGGTTGGAGGATTGATATCGCAGCGGCTCCACACCACTGTGGGGTCGTCCAGGTCAAAAGTGTTCAACTCACAGGGCAGCAGGACAAACTCCTCCCCCTCATACAGCTCCACAGCTGAGGCATGCTGGGAAACTGTGAGGTCACACAGACAGAGAGGTTCAATCACAGCAGCCTTATTTCATGTCTTATTCCTCCTGGATCCTCAGGTGACCCAGAAACCAACCTGGTCCTGTCTGTGATTGGACGCTGCAGCTGATCAGCTGCTGTGAAACCACATCAGCACAGTTTAAAACCAACAGCAGCTGACAAATAACAGAAGCACCTCAGCTGTCATGTTGCTCTCACTGTTTAGATGGACTCTGTTTTCTGACTCAACATGGTGTTAAAATGAGTGTGTTAACTGTCTGAACTCCTCTTTCCTCAAATCTCCTCCTTCCCTCTCTCTATCACGTCTTCAGAGGGAGTCCATAATACTCAGGGAAAAGACAGGACTGATGGACATGTGGAGACACTTCATACAGATGAGACAGATGATCCACATGTGATGCTGCTGTCAGCAGAGGATCAGTATTACTGTTGGTGATATAACCTAGAAGACTGTGAGCAACCTACAGGGATATAATCCTGAAGACCTGAGGACAGTCTGACTGGACCGTCTTCTACATTCATGAGGATTTAAAGAAACATTAAAACATGCTGCCTTTAATATGTTGATCATGTTGTTATTTGAAGAAAACATCGTCATGGAGCTGAAACAGACTGATGAAAATGAAAGAAACCCAGATTAAAGAGGTGACGTTGGACTGAGGTGATGATCAGATCAGATGGAGGAAGGTTATCTTACCGTGCACGAGGATCACAAACACCACAAACATCTTCATCTTCCTGTAGAAACTCCAACAAGCACAAAGTTAATCTGCTTCTCACTAAAGGAAGTCTTCAGAAACACAGTGAGGACATCAGTTCACAGCCAGCTGTCCCTTTCCTCCTCCTGATAATCTGCTGACTCTGTGAGGAGAAAACTGGAGTTTCACTTTAAACTGTTTCCACTGAAGCAGCTGTTGGAATGTGAAGAAACAGGCTGAGCAGCTTTCACACAAACATTATTGTGACAGACAGGTGTGGCTGCTGAGCTAACTGCTAACACACCTGCTAGCAGCTAGCATGCTGCTGTTAGGCCCCTCCTCCTCACCCACCACCTGGACACCTCTGTCCATCCTGGAGGGGGACGTTCACAGACTGTTCAGGAGACAGAAGGCAGCTGGGCCAGACTCTGTCTCTCCGTCCACTGATGATGGTTTTTCACTTTAATCCTCAGAGTGGATGAAGTGATTGTGATCAGCTGTTGTGAAGTGAAACTGTGAGTTTGTCAGCTCAGAGTTCAGGTTCAGACTTTGTTAAAGCAGCTCTCTGGAATGAGTCCAGATCACCACAGATCTCTTCTGAGGAAAGAGGAGGAGCTTCAGCTTCCTCATGTTTGTCAGAGCTGTTGGTCCAGTTTCTGTCTCAGACTGACAGACAGAAAGCTGAACCTTCAGTCCTGTTGATTATCTGCACAAGAACTAAACTTCTTTATCAATCTCTAAATGACTGAAGCCGTCAGGAAACACAAGCTTTTTCTGTTCACTTTCATTCATTTCAAGAAAACATTTTAATGTCAGAGACACAAACAGCTGACAGAGATTTATGTCATTAAACACTGAAGTCTGTCCAGCTTTTCATCAATTCAATAATGAAACAATAAAGAAATAAAAAGGATTTAAACTGCATTTCTTCTTCTTCGTGATGTCGCTTCAAATCAGATCACATGAAACTGCATTAATTAGAATAATTTCACAATAATCAATATTAACAGATGACATGAAACACACTTCTGCCAGTTCCTCTTGTCCATCAGAGCAGAGATGTGGTTTTGTTGTGGATCAGGTCTTTCTTTAACAGGAGAAGGTTAGTATCTGCGACTAGTCGTTCTCTGCTTCCTCCTGCCGGGTCAGCTGTTTTTGGGAGGTTCATCATTACAGACTGGAAATCTAAAGCTAACCTAATAACGCTGGAGGAGCAGCGTTATTAGGTTACTTCCTGCAGGAGCTGGCAGTTTGGGAGGGCTCGTTAAGTAACGGGCTGACACCTGTGTAGGCCTCAGCCTGGGCTTCACCCCGTCTCACTGTCTGTCTCTCTCTCCGAGGCTCCACGTCTCCTGGTTAGGGTTTGTTTGCCGTCAACCTTCATTCATACATTTCTCACTCATCCGTGCGTTCCACTCACCACTGATGCCGCTGATTATCACATTTCATCTTCTGTAACTAGTCATGTTGTTTCTAGTTTCTTTAATAAACCTTATTTTGTGGCACTTTAACCTGCTCGGTCTCCCCCTGTCTGTCACGTTCTGTGAGCCGGGATGTGACAACAGGAACACTAACAACATGCTGCTCACTGATCCCTGATCACTGATAGGACAGATCAGGATGAACAGGAGTAATTACCTGTCCTTACCTGGTGACAGTAATGTGTCCAATCCAAGGCCTGAAGAAGGCCATGATGCCAGAGTCTGCAGTCTCTGCTGAGCACTATTATGTTACCATCAAAGGTTGGACTTCCTGTTCACACTACAACATGTTCTCTTACTAAACATATCCTAAAGACGTGCAGCTGATGACATGTAATGACTCCTGTCTCCAAAGGGAAAGTGAGGGGTGTGTTTGTGTGCAGCTGAAAACGTCAACAGTCACATTAAAATCATTGGTCCTGATCTAAAGGCTCAGACGTATGGAGCTAAAAGAGTCTCAAAAAAGATAAATGAACACACTACATTCACATAAGCACACACAGGATTCATAAATACACACACAGGATACACAAATGCACACACAAAATTAAAAAGCTCGGAAGATTCACTAATGCATACAAAAATCACAAATGCACAGGGCAAGATTCAGAAATGTATTTAGGATGCACACACAAATATATCTTGATTTACAAACTCCCTGCGGTCTGTGAACTTCACTGCATTTGTGTGTGAATTTTGAGACTCCCCTGACTTGGCTCGACACACAAATGCCTTTTTTTAAACAGGGATCTGCAACCAATCAGATATCTCCCTATTTTTAGCCAATCACAAGAACGCACTGGTTACTTATAAGCCAGTCGCATGAATGCGTTCACACAGCGCTTTATGCACGTGTCGCAGGCTATCATGGTGGACTTCAGACAGTTGAGACCTCAACATGGCTTCTGGCAACGACAGGGGAGCGGTAAATATAACTTAACATGATCAGCTAGTTATCCCCTTGTTATGAGATGTTGTTTAATTATTAATGTTAACCAGTTTAATTGTGCAACTATCAACATAAACTAACGTTAGCGAGCTGAGCTAACGAGCTATGCTAGCGCTTCTGCATGCTAATAGGGTCAGGCTAGTAGTATCTTTCCATAAAGTTGACATTAAGACTCTGTGAAACCAAGAATGGCGTGCATGGCCGAGTTGTCCCCAGTTATCTGGCGTATAGTACCAGGGACTGTTTCAGAGGAGAAGGGCCAATCAAGGCCCCGACTCTCCAGTGTTTGATGTCATTAATTAGAGGCTGCAGAATGGGACCAAAGCCACATTTGTTCACATCTTCAGTGTGAAACAGTGCAACCAAATGAACGTTCATCACAGCAGAGGTCAATTTTGGTGGCAGATTTCTGAGGACAAAACAGAGAGCACCTGTTTGGTGAACGCCACGTTTTGAACCCAGCAGTTTCGAAGTCGTCATAGTGCATCTGAATTTGTAAAGAAGTCTGTTGTTTAGAGAACAATGGGTGTTTCTTAAAATAACTCCCATCACAAAAGTCTTCACGTTGCTCTGTTTTTGATACACAAGCAGTTCACACATTTCAAAATTGCGGCACATAAATGTGATTGTTTCCAAAATGGGAACGTAAACAAGTGTCTTTGACTGGGACTCGATCATCAGCGCCTGTTTGTTTATTTCTCCTCGTATCAAATCGAACTCCTCACATTATTTCTACAGGCTCCACAAGCCTCCATTTTTCATTGGGATATTTCCTTCTTTTAGTTTCATAGTTAAAGCCAACAAATGGATTTTCAAAATGATCTATTGTGTCTACTAAAGTAGATCTTAGAGGATCATCTTCAGGCACAGCAGACAGTATTTCATGTTTAACTTGGGAGTGCAGTCCAGCAGCAAGCTCTTCCAAATCACTAACACCTGCTGAAACTAAACTATCTGCTGTCCCACTTCCTCGGAGTTCAGCAAGGATTGAAGCGCAAATATTTTCTTTAGGAGCTGATCCCTCAAAACACCTGGCCTCTGGACTCAGCGTGGCGCTTGTTTCACCAGCGTCTGTAGAATCTTGGAGACGGTGGAAATGAGCTTGAAATGACTCTGAGTTTGCTGCATCACCACTTTGAGAAAGATCCTTCTCATGAACACTGCTTAGATGTTTTTTGAAAGCCGAATATGTTGAAAACAAACTGGTGCACAAAACAACTTAAACCTGGTGCTAGGATAGAAGCTGTGATCCATTCTTCAACGGGTTATCAAGGACTGACGAGCCACATGAACAGCTTGACAAATGAAACAGCTCAACATTTTTTACCCTGGTTCAGCAGTTTGAACTCACAAACTCTTGGAGACTCATCTGTTGTCGTAACATCGATGTTGTAGACCGCCGTCTGCACTAAAGTGTAGAGCTGTACCAGGGACTCGTCATGACTCAGGCTGAACACGTAGTGGGATTCAAACAGTTCATTAAAGCAGCCAACGAGCCGGTGGAGCGGCAGGGGACGAGCTGTTTGTCTACGACGATGTAGAGAGTGTCGGTCCTGTTCTGGGTCCGGCCAACAGCGAGGATGTAGGCTTGTTTGCCATCTCTTCCCCGCAGGTGTTCATCAGCGCTGCAGCAGGACTGAAAAACAGAACAATAACATGAACACCTCCAAGTAACTCTTTAGATTCTTCTCCACACAGTGGTTCTGCTGCTCCATGCGATGCTATAGATCCTCCTCTGGTCCAGTTAGGGGCCCCTGTGTCGTGAGAACATGCACTCTACTGGAACTATGTCCCACGTAGGAATCTGAACTCTCACAGGGGGAAGAACACTGAGCAGATTTTCAGCTACTCACTGCATAAGTCTGTGTGACACTAGAAAAGTTAGAGCTGCTAAACAGACGATGGTAAATTGCATTGGTGTATTTATGTGTATTCATGTGGCCCCAAGAAGTCTTTGCTGTTGAGCAAATATTAAGTTTACAGCGTTCTGTTTATTGCTTACTTCCCGTACATCTCTGGGGGAAGAAAATACCACTGCAAGTTGTCTCTTATTGAGTTAATATAAGTAAACAACTGGCTCCTGCAGTTTCAACAGATAAGAACAAATGTAGCTTGTGAAAGTGCACCATTTTGTCCCCGGCATCACTGGCACTTATTTTGATCCTCTTGCGTCCAGCTGTGGGTGGCCAGAGATGGAGACACTGTCCAGCAAAAAAACACGTCTGTGTCGAGCTACCAGCTAATACGGTGCGATGCAGCAGCAGCCGCCAATGGGCGGTGCTGTTTTAGAAAAAATACGCTATGACATACTCTTAGAAAAACCTGTGTAAAATAGTCATTTTTCCATGTTGTGCAGAGGAAGGTTATTGGCCGGCAGTTGGATGGAATTGTTCCCTTCTGGGGATCCTTCATGATCAGGACTGTCTGTCCTTGAGTTAACCATTCTGGGTGGGTCCCATCCATCAGCAGTTGGTTCATTTGTGCTGCCAGTTAGTTTCTTCAGCCAGGCCCTGGTGCTGTCCAGCTCTTCATACCTGCCACTCTTTCTTGGATGTCTGCCTTTGTAATGGTTACTAGGAGATTGCTGTGATCTGTTCTTGGATCCACTAGCCTCTGAGCATTGGTGTTAGAACACTGAGCTATGAGTTGTTTAGGAGTTTCAAAGCATCCATATATCCCACTCTGCATATAATCCCTCTCATTGCTTGTATAGTAGCATTGCATCAGATCCATATTTTCTGCTGTAGTCCATGAATGTCTTGTTCCAGTAGCCCATTTGTCATCAGGTTACCCTGGTTCCCTAGCACCTGACGTGGACCTTGTTGACCCAAGCGACGTCCGAGCCAGATGGCTCTTGTATTTGCAGTCTCACTCGTACCTGAAGTAGGCAAGTAGCATTATGGGCCTTGCCTAAGGGTCCACCTGGATACCCCCACACTGACTGGGAATCAATCCCACAATCTCCTGTACCAAAGTCAGTGAGGATATAAAATTACAATTATTTTCTAGCACGTTAACACAGTTTAAAAAAAAAAAAAAGTATTGCTCACTGGTTCTGAATACACATACAGTTCTTAAAATCACAACGTGAACCAAGGGTTCTTTCAGGTAAACAGAAATGGAGACAAATGCGAGTAAACAGTGAGAGCTCTACAGTAACCATGGCAACGGCTTCTGTGTGCTACACAGCTCCAGCCTATTTAAGTTAAAATTATACATAACTTTAAGCAGGGCCGTGCAGAGACCTTTGGAAGGGCAGGTGCTCAAAGTATAAAAAGGGCACATGGAACGAGGATTTAAATAGGACTCTTCTCATACTATTGACATAGAAAAATATCGTTATGTATTCCTTGTTGACACGCATATACAGATAATTCTGTGTCGATACATCAGCAAATGCTGTGATGCAAAAAGAAACAGGGAATGCCCAACTCTAGCTTTAAAACACTGTGGGCTGACATAACTTACAGGGAACATTTGCTGTTGAGGGGCTGCCATGGATGCGGCTGCTGCTGCTGTTGTGGTGTTGCTGACACTACTGGAGATGATCTGTGACTACAGACCATATGATATATATTATCTGATTAAACGATTATGTGACCATAAAAAGATTGTTGAATGTTTGGGACTAGCTCACAGTGACTGACTTGTGGTAAGACACTACCAAGGGTGACTGCTAGGGAGACGCTCACAGAGCTGCACACCAAGAGCTGCAGGTAGAGGAAATAAGATACCAGATTTTAAAAAAGTTTGGGAAATAATCTGAGAAGGAAACATTAATGGGGAAGGATGAGGGTGGCCATGGCAGGGTTAAGAGTGAGACAAACAAATCTATAGACAGAGGTGTGAGTATTTGTGTTGCTTGCTTGTGTGTCTACAGTATGCAAAATTGTGATAATGATTTTATATATTGCATTGTGAATGAGATATATTTGGATTTTTTTAAATTTGGATTATATGTATAAATATACATTATAATATTCCTGACATCAAAGTAAAGAGTGAAGAAGAAACGGCGATTTACACGATTTACAAGAAATATTTTATTGCTACCATTTAAAGGGAATACTGCTGGTAAAAAGCACCTTATTTGTTTGAAGTGTTTGCAAACCACATGTTATTGCACTTTTGTGTATATAGCAGTAAAATTAAATTAAAAGTGCGCAATACACTACTTCATTATTTAATTTTACAATAGCATCAGCATGTAACTTTAACGTTTGTGTCATCTGCTGCAGCTTAGCTTTAGGGGCAGGCTCACAAAACCACCAAAAGAGTGTAGTTTGAGTTTGCTTTCATTTAATTTCTTCTTCAGTGATATTAGTTCATTTTTAAACTTGTGCAGAGTAACCGTCAGGCAGCTGTGTTGTTGTTTAGCAGGTAAAGTCAGATCCCAGTCACAGGCTATGGAAGCCCCAAAAGTCAATGCATCACTGGGGTGGTGATGGTGCAGTGGATAAGACGCCTTTGGTGTGAGAGACCCGGGTTCATCTCCCCACTGTGACACTTCCACCAATGTTTCTCTCAGCAAGACCTTTAACCCCTAGTTGCTTCAGAGGCGTGTGACCCCAATTCTAAGTCATTTTAGATAAAAGCGTCAGCACACTGCAAGGGTGAATTCTTGAATGAAAGTGTGAAAGTTCTGTCACAAAACAATGTTACGTGCCATCTCGCTATTTTTAGAGGGCATATTGAAATCTTTGACCGTTCCTAGTGGGTAAACGGCATCTACCTGCATATCACGTAGACTACACTGCAAAGTTCAGATATTAAACTTTTGAGTGTGTTCATAATGAAAAACAAAATGATTCATATTTTGAGATTCAGATTGAACCACATGCTTGTAAAGCAGACTCTGTGCAGCTCCTGCCCTGTTCATTAGAAACCATTTCTTTCCTGACCTTTCTTAAACTCAGTGATATTTTCATGTCAGATGAACAAACCTTTTATGGCGTGCGGCCCAATATGGTGGAATGGTTGACTCAATTTGTAAGTGGTACTGGGGTCCTGAGTCAAACACCAATACACCATATGTTTAAATACAAGCAGCCATTTGTCCCTTTTCATAGTTTACCAAATTACCAAAGTCCAGATCCCAGAGCGGATCAACATGTGACATCACGCTGACCTCACTCTGACATCACTGATCAGCAGGAATCAATAGTGAGTGTGTAGACTGTGTGTGAGAGTCAGTAGGAGGAGTCAGAGTGAAGAAGAAGCTGACAAAGCGTCCTCCTGTCTTCATCCGTCCTCCATCAGCTGCTTCACCTCCATTTTCTCTCTGATCCAGAGTCAGATCGGATCAAAGATCAAAGATCAAACAGATTGATCGGCCATCAGAGGAGTTGGATCAGCGGAGCTGCTTCTGTTCCTGCTTCTCTCTGCAGAGGAGACAGAGGACAGTCAGACAGAGACAAACACAGAGACTCTGACCTCAGTCTGCATACTGACCTTTGACCCTGAGATCAACTGTTTTCTCTCTCATGATGTTTCCCTCCTTGTTGAAGATGTAGCACCTGTATTCTCCTCCATCTTCAACTGTGGGGGATTTCAGGGTCAGACTGAGGTCTCCAGTTCTCAGCAGGTCTTCCTTCATCTCTGTTCGGTCTCTGTAAACCTGGTCCTGTTGGTCAGGCTGGTCAGAGCCGTTCTGATACACGTGGACTATCTTTTTGGGTTCATAGCATTTCCACCACACTGTAGCGTCCTGAGGCAGGTTGTCTGTGGTCTTGCAGGGCAGCAGGACAGACTCCGCCCCCTCCTCCACCTCCACCTGACAGACTGAGAAGACAACAAAGCACAACATGAGCTGCACAGACAGCAGCAGCAGTTTGAATAACTTTATTTAATGATTGCAAAGTTGTAGAGACGCTGAAGGAATTTACAGTATCTCACCAAAGTGAGTACAACCCTCACATTTTTGTTAATATTTGATTTATATCTTTTCAGGTGACAACACTGAAGAAATGACACCTGTAAAGTAGTGAGTGTATAGCTTGTACAGCAGTGTACATTTGCTGTCCCCTCAAAATAACACATCACACAGCCATTAATGTCTAAACCGCTGGCAACAAAAGATCAAGATCTTTGAGATGGGTCCAGTCTACTTGCTATAACATGTAATTTCCTGTTATCAGTAGGTGGTGCTGTGACTATGACTCAGGGTGGACCTCTTATCAAACAGATCTCAGAAAATTTAAATATTGTGGAAAAGTTCATTTTATAATGTAATTTAATTAAAGTCAAACTTTCATGTATTCTGGATTCATCACACATAAAGGGAAATATATATAATATTCCAGGTCTTTTGTTGTTCTCTTTCAAACATTTGCTTGTTGTGATTATGGTTTACAGCACACAGAAATCAAAAATCCATATCTCAGAATATTAAAATAAAGATTTAAATGTAGACCTGAGAAGAGCCTTCAATCTCTCAGTCTGGTTCAGTACAAACAAACACAATCATGGGGAAGACTTCTAACTTGACAGATAACAGATACTCATTTACACACTCCACAAGGAGGGTAAGCTTGTTCCATATTCATGGAAAGTTGACTGGAAAGTAAAAGTGTGGTAGGAAAAAGTGTGGTAGGAAGCTTGTTCCACAAGCAATAGGACTGACTTCAAGTGCCTTGAGAAGATTATCAAGAAATGCCAAACTTGGGGGAGCTTCACAAGGAGTGGACTGAGGCTGCAGTCAGTGGATCAAGAGCCACCAGGCACAGGCGGGTCCAGGAAATGAGCTACAACTGTTGATTCCTAGTGTTAAGCCACTCCTGAACCAGAGACAATGTTAGAAGCGTCAGAATAAATATATATATATGAAATATATAATATATATATATATCATAGCGCTTTATGAAAAGTGGTATAAGATAACTGTTGTTGTGATTTGGCACTATATAAATAAAAATAAATTGAACTAACAAAGCGTCTGGACCGTTGCTCAGAAGTCCAAAGTCCTCTCTTCAGGTGAAAGTAAATTCTGTATTTCATTTGGAAATCAAGGTCCCGGAGTCTGAAGGATGAGTGGGGAGGCACAGAATCCAAGTAGCTTGAAGTCCAGTGTGAAGTTTTCACTGTCCAGAATCAATGCAGTGTCCACCAGGAGACAGCGCTTCATGCTTCCATCTGCTGACAAGTTTTATGGAGATGCTGATTTTTTTTTACCAGCAGGACTTGGCACCTGGTATTATTGTGCTTGATTGGCCAGCCAGCTCGACTGACCAGAACCTCAGAAAGAGTCTATGGTGTGTTGTCAAGAGCACAGTGAGAGACACCACACCAACAATACAGTTGAGCTGAAGGCTACTAATAAAGCAACCTGGGCTTCCATAACACCTCAGTAGTGCTACGGGCTACACAAACAATTCGTATTACCATTTACAGGTTAAAAACGTAGCCCAAAGGTTATATTGTGTAATAAAAAATGCTCGTCTGATAGACAATAAAACTGTTGTTATTATTGAATCGTATTCATCTCATACGAAAATCTTCGGACGAAACAAATTAGCCTACATTACAACAATAGAATAATAGAACAAGATAAACCTTGATACACAAGGGGTGTTAAAGAAAAATATTTAAGTCTTTATACATTTTAACTGATTTAAATTCCTCAGACTATATAATGTTTCAATATAATTTTTGATTTATTTTGAAATGTTGTATTAGTGAAAGTAATAGGCTATTTTTCATATAAGATAGAGGTTCAAATATATAGGCTTTTCTTTTACAATGAAAATTAATCTTTTCATAAAAGAATATAATATTTCTTCTTCTTTTCGTAAATATCTAAAGTCATAGTCTTTAAGAAATATTCAAAATCGAACCAAAATAATTCATAGACAAACACATCATAAATGACAAATGCTTTCAGTCAACACATACTTTTCCTCAACATCTATCCTGAATCTTAATACAACTGTTGTTTGAAACACAGCAGTGAGTGCAGCGGTAACAGAGCAGATCCTATTTACACTAGGGAGAGGGTAATTTGCCAGAAAGTTGGCCTTTGTACATTTTTACATGGGTTGGATTTGGCTGTGAGTGTGACTCAGAGTCAGAATGGAAGTGGCGAGGGTCTTGTTTTGGAAAAGCCCACAGGCAGGTAAAGGGTGATAAACACTAACACGCACACACTATAGGAAGAGTCTAAACCACAGGAAAAACACTAAAACCCAAAATCATGACAGAACTCCGCCCTCAAGGGACAGATCCCACACGTCCCTAAATTAAAAACAAGACAGTCACGAAAAAAAGTCTAAAACAACCCAGTCGGACTGAGGGAGGACAAGAGGAAAGCCAGAGCGCAGGGGCATAAAAAACTAAATAGATCACTTACACCATGAGGGGGGCAGAACAGAGGGAGCCAGACTGAATGGAGATATAGGCAGAAGGCCTGATGGCAGAGTAGGGAAACCAGAGGTATCAGGCAGGTGACCCGAAGGCAGGGCAGAGGGGGCACAGGGGACTTCAGGCGGGAGGCCTGAAGGCAGGACAGAGAGGGAACATGACAGTTCAGGAGGATGACCTAGAGGTCAGCCAGACATGCTCAGCAGGTCAGAAGGATAGCCTGGGGGTTGACCAGGGAGCAGAGAGCAAGAGCAGAAACACTCCAGGGCCCTTGCAGGAGGCTGGCAGCAAAGGAGAGACCTCTCTGGAGGTCGAGCAGGGCCTTGTCAAGGAGGTCCAACACCCACTGGAAACCGATGATCAAGACGAGACCTCTCCGGGGCCGAGCAGGGGACCGGTGATGAGGGTGGAACTTCTCCAAAGGCCAGGCAAGGCTGAATTCCAGCAGCGAAGCAGCAGAACAGGGAACCAGAGAGCCTCCTGGCTAACTACCCCAAGGCTAACAGCTTGTGCATCTTGGCTCTCCTGGCAAAGAATTCTAAGAGTGTGATTTTCACAGTATCTTTCTCCTGCTCTAAATTCCTTTCCACAGGAGTAGCAGGCGGAGGATCAGGCAGGAGGCTAGCAGCATGATTTCTTACACTTTCTGGAGTAAAACATCTATAAGCCAATATCCTATCAGATTGGTGATCCCGGGAAAAAATCTTATCAATTGGGGGTCTGTGGTCAAATTTGTGCCAGTTTAGGGGTCCTTGACATGAAAACATTTGAGTACCACTGCACTTAACAACAGGAAAATAACACTAAAACCCCAAACCATGTCACTGACATATTAATGAGTACATCAATTACCTTTTTTTATTTTTTTAGAACTGTTAACTTTTCAAAAGGTTGATGTTTTTGAATATTATTCTTGAGTCTAATATTGTAATATTTTAAGATATTGATTTTTGATTTCCATGACCTGTAAGCCGTAATCACCAAGATTAAAACAAAGACAGGCCTGAAATATTTCACTTTATGTGTAATGAATCTAGAACATGAAAATATTCAAATTTTACGTTCTATTCTAAAACTCTTCAGCATCGCAAAGCTCCTTGAATTGCACTGCCCACATTTGAAGTGGATTGATTTAATTTCTCTAAGGGAATTGTTAAAGTATGGAGTGTGTAAATGGTAAAAAAAATGGTTAGTTTGGTTTAAGGTATTTTCTTTAAAATAGATTTGAAACATACTAGAAAATGTCTATCTTTTGTTTAGAAATAAAGCAGAAACAGTCACTTTGAAGACGTTTTCTTTACTAAAGGACTATGGATTGAAAGAGAAAGGTTATGCATTAATTATCAACTGCCCATTTATTCTTTAACAATAAAAAAGGTGACTTCTGAAAATGAGCTGTCTGTCCCTACAAACTTAAGAGGTGTACCCACAAAACTGTCCCTTCTATCAGTTTGTCTTGAGCGCTACTGATAAAACACAATATTGTTCAACTTCAGACCAGCACTTCTTTCTGACCATTAATCAGGGTAAACCTAATTATTAATCATTCTGGAACACTGGACCCGTATCTACAGCACTGACCTCTGACTCGGAGCACAACCTGTTTCTTCATCAGGATGTCTCCTTCCTTGCTGTAGACGGTGCAGGTGTAGGTGTCTCCATTTCTGTCTGTGGGGTATTTCAAGGTCAGACTGAGGTCTCCAGGTCTCTGCAGGTTTCTCTTCATCTCTGTTCGGTCTCTATAAAACCAGTTCTGTTCTTCAGGCTGGTCAGAGCCGTTCTTATATACGTGGACCGTCATGTTGCCTCTGTCCCTCCACTCCACTGTGACGTCTTCAGGCAGGTGAACTGTGGTTTTGCAGGGCAGCAGGACAGACTCCTTCCCTGAATCCACCTCCACCTTGTAGACTGAGAGGACAACAAAGCACACCTGTGTCTAAAGACATTATGTTGTAATCCGATTCCCTTTAACTCTGAAAAGTTAAAGAGACAAATATGTTGAATGTCTTTTCACTTTGAAAAGACATTTACCTTCTAATGAGCTTCTTATGAAAACATTTAACAATAATATAATATTCAAACATCTCCAAAACTTTTTCTTTGACTGTTTCAACTGAAACATGTGTATTTACTGTAGTAATTACTTTAAGGTTATGTGCAAGAGGGATCATTATCGATAAACAACCTAGTGGGAAAGTGAGATGTCTCCATTTGATACACACCGAAGGGACCAATTTTTAATAGTTACTGCCAAACCAGATATTTTCATTGGTTGTTGTTACCAAAAAAAAATCAGCTGTAATGAGAAGCAGCTGTGAAAGTAATTAGGGGGAAAATTTTGTATACACATGACAGGAAATGTGGGGTGATTTGACATTTAGACTCAGCAAAGATAAGAGACTCTCAAGGAAAGAATAAATTCTTTCAGAGGTGCCAAAGAAGATGTGCATGTACTAATGTGGTAAAACTCCTTAGATCCTAAAGAGGGGAAAGGAAAGAAAGGAGCTGAACTCTCTTTAACTAGTCAGTAAACTTATTAAATGTATCAGAAATGTATGATAACCTACAAGAAATGTAAAGCTGGACCTGTTAACCCACATTTTCACATTTGGAGGCTTCAGCCTTCCTAGAGTATATGAACAAGATCTTTTTGGAACTGGGAATTTAAGGTTTAAATGTACTCACTATTATAACTGCGTACCAATATGTTCATCCTTTAATGTGTGTATTTGAATTGAATGTAATATGTTTTCTTCATCTGTGTTTCTATCAAATTTATAAGGTTACTGTAGGCAAACAGCTTAGAGGCTGCAGGAAACTGGGGAGGGTCTCCTTAAAAGGAGAATTTGATCCAAAAGGATTCTGCACAATGAAAATGAGGTGATACTTATTTTTGTGAACTCAAAGAACCTAATAGGAAAAGTATTTAGGAGATGACGCAGTTAGAAATCTGCCATGTTGCTTATGTTGCTGTAATTTTGGGGGGTTTATATTTGAGTTAACAAGGAGTGGCCGCTGGACTTCATTCCAGAGAGGTGAAGGATGAGTCTCTGACAAAATTGGGTCAGTAATCTCTCTTAATCATTGAATCATCTAATATTAATAGAATGTCCAATGATTCTAGAAGGCTAATCTGAGTGAATTTGAGGGTTTTTGAGTAATCTTTAGGATTTTGGTGGGAGACTCCTTTGAGGAGGCTAAAGTGATCTCAATTGCAATTCATTTTCTATTATTTTTCTTATTCTTCTTAATTATAACCTTATGTAATCTGTATTAATTGTCATTTTCATATTTTGTACCTTTTTCCTATGTAAATAAATTATTGAAAAATCTAGAAATACAGACTAATGATTTCTGTGTCTCTGGTCTATTATTGAGGGAAACCCAGCCAAGAAAAAAAAACCTTACTACAGTACTGACCTTTGACCTTGAGGACCACTTGTTTCTTCATCAGAATGTCTCCCTCCCTGCTGTAGGCGGTGCAGGTGTAGGTGTCTCCGTCTCTGCCTGTGGGGTATTTCAGGGTCAGACTGAAGTCTCCAGGTCTCAACAGGTTTCTCTTCATCTCTGTTCGGTCTCTGTAAAGACTGAACTGTTCTTCAAGCTGGTCAGAGCCGTTCTGATACACGTGGACCTTCCTGTAGGAATTGTCCCTCCACTCTACTCTGATGTCGTTTGGCAGATGAACTGTGGTTTTGCAGGGCAGCTGGACAGACACCACCCCTGAATCCACCTCCACCTGGTAGACTGAGAGGACAACAAAGCACAAACTCAGCTGTACAGACAGCAGCAGGAACTCTGAAATATGTCCTATTGTTCAAACAGAGACAGTGTTAAATAAATGTCTGTTCAGCCGCTATCGTCTAGTGAGGTAACACAGTGGTGACTGAGCCTGTGGACCAATGGTCAAGGTATTGCAATATAATATATTTGCAGTATTACCAATAAACATCTATTAAAAGCCTAGTCCCAATTAGACACCTGTCCCTTTTACTTGCCTTGTGTGGCCATAGCTTTTGACAGATAAATGCAGGTCTCAATTAGATGCCTGGTCTGATTAAAACCTTTTCACGTTTGTTGTTTCAAACCAAAAATGAAGAAATGGTAAAACAGAGCTGTATTTGATTACATGCAATATAACATTGTGCATTTATTCATGTGAACAGCAAGAGTTGTTGCGGTGGCAACCCCCCTGTTTCTCCTTTCCTCCTTTGCATCCTGGTTTCTCCTGTGTCTCCTTTCTCTCCCTCTCCACTCCGGAGCCCGGCTGGTTATCCACACCTGCGCCTCATTAACCTCCATCCCAATCACCTGCCAGCTATCAGCCTCATCTCGACCAGTATTTCTAACCCGGCTCTCCACTCCATCTTCGCTCGATCGTCGCAGCTCCAGACTTGGTGCTACAGTTTCGCTCAAGCATTAATGAACCTTTTTTTTGCTGAACCTTCTCGTTTCCTGCCATCCCGTGCTAACCCTGTCTGTCTGTTTCCTCCCGCCAGGTCCACTCACCTCTGCCTCCCCGTTCGGCCAACCGGGCTCGCTTACCTGCCTCCTCCTCTCCCCGCCTCCACGACGCCCCCGGTTCTCCCCTCGCTCCCCGCCAGTTTTCTCAGTTTGCATTAATTATTTTTGGCAGATGCATTGCCAGCATTCAGTAATATTATAAATTAATTTTACTTCAGTCACAGATACTGACACGCTTGCCTTAATAAAGGCTCATTTCAGTGTTTCCCACACATTGATTTATTATTGGCGACCCGCCACATTATCAATGCTGATTGCCACATATTGATTTTCGATTTAGTTTTTTTTACTATTTAAAATGGGTAAAATAGTATTTGATTACAGAGCTGCACACAGTGCATATATTCGCTCAGCTCAGCTCCACCACTGTTATTGAAAGAGGGAAAGTTTCCCCTTTGCAAAAGCTGGCCACAAAATGTTCACCTGATCATCAGTCAGGGCCACAATGCTGACTTTGTATGTGCAGACATACTTGCCGAGGCCGAGCAGGTCTTATAGCTGGCAGCTTTTCTGCACAGTTACAGTAGGTTAAGTTTTTCAAGGTTTTTCTCATCTATGTGTTTTTTTATAATATATACACACATAAAAACCAATTTGGTTTTACTCATAGAGGGAACAGCTGCTCTCTTAAACATAGGAGGCCTACCACAGCTTAATCCTGACAGTTTTCCCATGTGAATGCCTAAATGTTGTTACAACTTTTATAACTGTTTAACACCAATTTATGGAGGGAGGAACTACTCAGGCAGGTTTGTGCACTGAAATGTTACCAAATTTGTGAGAGTACAGAGGATGACGTTAGGAAGCCAATGACATATGTGAACTATTGAATGATGGGTTTGATGAAAGGTCAAAGTTCAATTAAAAAGCCAAAGTAGTCTTTTTTTCTTTTTAAGTTTGTTTGTTTGCATTTGTTAGCACACTGTTGTACAATGTCAGCCAGAACATTTTAAATCCTGAGAAGACATTTTCAGTGTTGACAGTCAGTTTTTAATATTTTGTGTATTTGGACTTTCTACAGACCTGCCGGACTTGAGTATCTCGTAAAATGTATGTATGTTTAAAAGTTCTGGGTTCACATTGCGGTAGTAATCACAGGTTGTTTTTTCATCTTATTGCTTTGTGTATTAACACTGGGCACTTGTCCGGCGATAATACACCCGCGAGGAAAGTGATGAGAGGATTAAATTTGCGCTTGGTCTGAACACACAGTAAGGTAGAAGCCAACCACCAGAAAAACCATTTCGGAAGCTTGTTCTTCTGATCTAGTTCTTTCAGTGTTGAGCCAGCTGGCTGAGAAAGAACCTGAGGCTAAGAAAGAAAACTGACTGAGAGATCGAGAGCTTTGCCTTCTCTTTTCATAACAACTGTGTGGTAAAGCAAATACTACTCTGGTTGGTGTTTACATTCCACCGCAGGCCAACGTGCACGACGCACAGTGCATGCTGGCCGACCAGATACTGTGTGTGACTCCCTTGTTATTGTTCTTAGTGACTTAGTTTATTTTTAATTTTTTTACTTTTTACTAAGAGAAAAATGAAAACAAGAAACAGTCACACACACTAAATAAGCAACACAGCACAGCCACGAGAGCTGGAATAATAATTAATTTAAATAAGTAACTGAAAGAAAAGCATCAGGAATAAGGGACAACCTAAATTTGTTTGTGTCTATGTGTGAGACTGATTGTGTCTGTGTGCGTGTGGGTGAATGTGTCTGTATGTGTGAGAGTGGGAGGCCACGACTGTGCCACACTTACCCCAGCAACAGGCAGGCAAGAACCCCAGTAGCCAATAGGGGTGGGAGAAAGAAAAAGAATAAAATCAATAAAAAAAAAACAAAGACTCCCAGATGCACCGCGATGCAAACGCAGAAGACCCCGACCCAAATGCCAGTTGACAACGTAATGTCGACGGAACGCAAAAAGCGTAACCCGCGGAAGAGCAGCGCCCGGACCGACCGCGGCGCGCACACAACATAGACCAGTGCTCCCCCCCGACCCAGCACCCCACCGCCGCGCAGCGAACAACCAAAATGCCCAAATGCCACGCAATCATCAACACCAATGCACAAGTGACGAGCCCAACGCGCACACTGCGCGAGCACGGCGACACCCAATGCCCAGCAGACCCCCGCTAATCCCGCGTGCGAGGTCGGGCAAACGAGAGAGAGCAAAAGGAATAACACGACAGCGAAAGCCAGCGGAGAGAAACACCAGCAGTAAGTCCTAGTCCGGCAGCAAATGCGCCGCACAGGTCACCGTGCACCCGCCAATAAAAGTCCGCCGTCCCCCCAACGGCCGGAAAAAACTAAGGCCGCCGGCGCCAGCCGACATCCCCCATGCCCAGCACACCTCCGGGCCGCTGTGCAACACCAGCCAAACCAGCAACGAGGCAAAATCAACTATCTAGCTGCATGCAGAACTCCAGGCACAAACCCAGAACAAACCGGAGCACAGCTCTGCCCCGCACCCACACTGCACATCCTGAAAACTAACTATATATACCTCAGTATCCAGAGGGGTCCAACAACTGGCTGACAGAGAAAAGGGGAAGCAAAACAGGGACGAAAACAGGTCCCTCCAAGCCAACGAGGAAATGCCTCCCCCGGACTCCAATGCACAAACTAAATGCCCAGCAGCCATTCAGAGACCCTGCCCAGGGAAAAAGCATAATGCATCAAGATGCATCGACAATCGCCCCACAATTCCACCGCAGCCCACCAAACCGCAATCGGATCAACCCGCGCAGAGACCCCCACCCCCAGAAGCCAGGGGGTGTGTTGGATGCATGTCATGGATTGTGAAGTGTTGTATGGTGGAGTAAAGATAAGTTGTGTGGTAACTAAGGTGCAACTAAAATTGGAGGGTAGTTGTGACACAGGCACCCCACAACTGTCAGGTAGTGGAGCCTCCCATCATGCCCCTCCCACCCCCCAAGCCCTCTATGTCTAATGTGTAATTACAATAAAGCAGCCCCACCCCCCAAACGCCCTGCAGGCTGCCTGCCCCCCAGGGTCCTAAGGGTGTATGTTGTGAGACATGACCAAAGGGGGAAAGGTGAAGGAGGTCATAGGGAGGCTAGAAGACCAGATTCCTGACTGGCCCCATCATTCATTCAGTCCCGTCCCCCACCCCCCTAAGCAGGAGGACGCCAGGTCCCTCCAGCCCAGGGCTTATAGCAAGAGCCCCTCTAGCACTAGGTCCGGAGCAGCAAGGACCCCGCCCAAGGACAGAACGGCCCAACAGCCCAGACCCGAAGGTCGGCCAACACCTAGGAGGCAATGCCACTCAGGCCAGGTCAGGCCAGAAGACCCTAACCCTAACCCGCGCCCTTCCCTCCCTAGCAGCGAAGCATCCCACACACAAACCCAAATCCCCACCGTCCCCAAAAAAAAGAGACAGCAATCACCCCCGCGACAGCAGCAACAGCCCCTCAGCCCTAGGGAGTCAGCAGATGCACCCAGCCCAACAAGCACGCAAGCCAATAACGACCTACAGGTGAGCCAACCAACACTACCCCGCTACCAATCTAACTAGCGGCACACAACAGCCAAGTAATGCGCTGCACAGGAGAGATGCCAGCCGGCGCTAACCGCCCCCATCCCCCCCGCAGCCAGAGAGACCACAGACCCCACCCACAGCTACACCGTGACCCACACTGCACGTTCACCACCGGACTGAAACCCACCACAAGCGAAACTCAGGAGGATTTTCAACAAACACAACATTCCTGTGTTTTTTAAACTCAAGAACACACTAAGACAGATGCTGGTACACCCCAAAGACCGCACACCCAAACAAGAAAAGCAATCTAGTGTATGCGGTCCAATGCAGTGAGGAATGCACAGACCTGTATATTGGGGAGACTAAACAACCACTACACAAACGCATGGCTCAACACAGAAGCGCCAACTCCTCAGGTCAAGACTCTGCAGTCTACTACCAGCAATGGAAAACACCATTTTGCTTGCCTCATCAACAAGGCCCGGGACCCCCACTGACACTAACTCTTGCGCCTCCTCCCCCCTTTTATAGTACACACCGGCAATGTTTGCACAAACATTCGATTTTTTACGCACATGTAAGTAATTAACTGCAATGTTGCACATAGTCTTTGTTATTATTCTATAACTTGTATAATGTCAATTTCATATTTTTATAGGTTTATGTTTATTGTTACACACCTAGTCACCAAAACAAATTCCTCGTATGTTTAAAAATGACTTTACAATAAAGCTGTTTCTACAAATTCCACTGTCACAGGTGTTCAGTTGTCTTGCTCCAATAATACCTTCATATACTGGAAGTGTAGCAGTAGTGACATACCTGACATGAAATAGTGCCGGAAATGTAACAGAAGACCCCCAGCAGCAACAAGACCAACAACCAGGAGAACCAGGAGAACTTTGGCCCAGGATGGAAATCGTTCTGTGGGATCCAGAAACATAAAGAACATGACCTCTGACCTCTGACCTGTATCTACAGCAGGTGCTAGGTTTTCTTGCTGACCTTTGACCTTCAGCTGTATCTCTGCCACTCTCCGTTGTCCTCCTAACCTTCTGACGGTGCAGGTGTAGCTGCCGCTGTCAGAGAGCTGGAGTTTTGTCAGGTTGAGGCTGAGGTCTCCAGTTTCAAGAGCGTCAGTCATCATGGATGTTCGGCCGCTGTAAAGCTGGTTTTGGTCTTCAAGTTCGTCACCTTCCTGCTGACGCTGGTGGACGGTTGGAGGATTGATATCGCAGCGGCTCCACACCACTGTGGGGTCGTCCAGGTCAAAAGTGTTCAACTCACAGGGCAGCAGGACAAACTCCTCCCCCTCATACAGCTCCACAGCTGAGGCATGCTGGGAAACTGTGAGGTCACACAGACAGAGAGGTTCAATCACAGCAGCCTTATTTCATGTCTTATTCCTCCTGGATCCTCAGGTGACCCAGAAACCAACCTGGTCCTGTCTGTGATTGGATGCTGCAGCTGATCAGCTGCTGTGAAACCACATCAGCACAGTTTAAAACCAACAGCAGCTGACAAATAACAGAAGCACCTCAGCTGTCATGTTGCTCTCACTGTTTAGATGGACTCTGTTTTCTGACTCAACATGGTGTTAAAATGAGTGTGTTAACTGTCTGAACTCCTCTTTCATCACATCTCTTCCTTCCATCTCTTCCTTCCATCTCTCCATCACGTCACATGTGATGCTGCTGTCAGCAGAGGATCAGTGTTACTGTTGGTGATATAACCTAGAAGACTGTGAGCAACCTACAGGGATATAATCCTGAAGACCTGAGGACAGTCTGACTGGACCGTCTTCTACATTCATGAGGATTTAAAGAAACATTAAAACATGCTGCCTTTAATATGTTGTTCATGTTATTTGAAGAAAACATCGTCATGGAGCTGAAACAGACTGATGAAGATGAAAGAAACCCAGATTAAAGAGGTGACGTTGGACTGAGGTGATGATCAGATCAGAGGGAGGAAGGTTATCTTACCGTGCACGAGGATCACAAACACCACAAACATCTTCATCTTCCTGTAGAAACTCCAACAAGCACAAAGTTAATCTGCTTCTCACTAAAGGAAGTCTTCAGAAACCCAGTGAGGACATCAGTTCACTCCTGCTGATAATCTGTTGACTGAGTTTCATTTTAAACTGTTTCCACTGAAGCGGCTGTTGGAATGTGAAGAAACAGGCTGAGCAGCTTTCACACAAACATTATTGTTTCACTGCTGCTGCTTTGTTCCTTTATTTTAAAGATACGTGTGCATTGTCTGCATACACTTGTATTTTTTATTTCCAACTGAGGCTCTGTGCTTTATTTACTTGCTACTGTGGTGAATCTTTGTGTCGCAGCTCCACTGATGATTGTTTCTTACTCTCATCCTCAGAGTGGATGAAGTGATTGTGATCAGCTGTTGGGAAGTGAAACTGTGAGTTTGTCAGCTCAGAGTTCAGGTTCAGACTTTGTTAAAGCAGCTCTCTGGAATGAGTCCAGATCACCACAGATCTCTTCTGAGGAAAGAGGAGGAGCTTCAGCTTCCTCATGTTTGTCAGAGCTGTTGGTCCAGTTTCTGTCTCAGACTGACAGACAGAAAGCTGAACCTTCAGTCCTGTTGATTATCTGCACAAGAACTAAACTTCTTTATCAATCAAAAAAACACAAGCTTTTTCTGTTCAAGAAAACATTTTAATGTCAGAGACACAAACAGCTGACAGAGATTTATGTCATTAAACACTGAAGTCAGTCCAACTTTTCATCAGTACAATAATGAAACAATAAAGAAATAAAAAGGATTCAAACATTTCTTCTTCCTCATGAAGTCACTTCAAATCAGATCACATGAAAATGCATTAATTAGAATAATTTGATAATAACCAATATTAATAGATGAAACGCACAGAAAAGTTGAATGTTTAATTTTAAGTTCTGGAAATAAAAGTTGACTGTTGTTTGTAAATAAAATGTTTTGCTCTCTGTGTTCAGTGAGTAAAAGAGCTTCAGTCAGCTGTGACTTGGGAACATCCTGGCTAATATCTGACATATACCAGTCTGTGATGATCCAGAATAACTTCTCATTTCTGGTGATTCTACTCAAACACCAGCTGGAGTTTCATGTAAATGAGCTCTGCTGACCAAAAAGAAGAGTAAAACTCGTGCTGATGAGCTGGAATGAAGTTGGCTAAAAAGCTGTGAGACAGAATTGGGTGAAAATTTATACTTCATGGCTTATAAACAATCAAACCAGAGCGGTCAAAAGTGGTTTAAAGCTGAAGGACCAAACTCCTGTTGTTGTTCTGTTTGACTTGTTGTTGTTGACGTCTCCTCATTTACCATGGAGTGATAAATCTTAGACACATCAGACTTCACTCTCTCCTCAGTCATCACACATGGAGAAAATATGGCCCCACTCTGCCACATGGGGGCGCTGTAACCAAAGTGTTTCCACTTTTGTCTGTCAATAGGAGATCATTTCAGCCCACAGCTTGATGAGATGAGCGTTTCATCATCGGTCCCTTCACAAAATGACAGTAACATTTATCTCATATAGCCCCAATTACAGCTGTCATCACAGGACTCTACTGTTGGAATAACGTGCAGACTACATGGGCACTATTATTAAAACATGAAACAGATCAGTGCTGAATGCTCTGGTTGATATAATAATTTGACTTCTGCAGCTGTTTTGTCATGGTTATAGCAGCTGAATTGGTGTGACGCGCGGATCGGATCGGACATTAACGGAACTTATATAGGCCTAAACGCATAAATCATCCACCTGCCCCCCAGCAACTAATTATTTTATCAGATTTAGAGACCAGCTTCTGTATGGACGTTTTACCCCCACCTCCACGGTGCCTGCAGCTTCAGGTGATATATTGATGTACAAGTGTTTTCTTTAACGATTTACTTTGATGATTAGAACGGCTGCTGTCAGTCATTTAAATGTTTCCATCGGTGCAGTAATGTCACAGCAAATATCATGGGACAAAGCAACAAACAACAAAAAAACTGCCGTAATAAACTTGACAGGACAGACTGAGGACTCTGAATTAAACTTTCAGCTTCTATAATCCACGTTTAGACTCTGATGGAGCTCAGGATTGATCAGAAGGACAGCTGCTTTACTCCAAACACTTTTACTGTACGAAACTGGACTCTGTGTGAGACCTTTGTGTGAAGAAGAACACAGAACATGAATTAACATCAGATCTTGACCGATCCTGTCGGTGTGTCGGGAGATTTATTATTATTTTATGTTGCTCGTGCATAAATGCGCAGAGCCACTGGGGAGGTGCTTCATCCAGCCACTCTTAAATGTTAATTTTTACAATCCTGCTGCCCATCCAAACATCACATTCAACAATAACAACATCAGTGATGTCAAAGTGAAATGACATTAAGGAATGTGGTTAGAACAGTGCTTAATGAGGCACTACACAAACGATGAAGGGCAGAAAGTTTGATTGATTGATTATTTTCAATAGGCTTAACTGATACAGCTTATGAATAAAACAGGAACACTACAGAGTCCTGCTCCAGCTGTGGGTTGGTCGAGCTGCTTGTCACGCCTCTTTTGAACATCACAGCGGCTGAAAAGACTTCCACAAAGGATACTCCGATGGATCCTCGCTTATAACTCCTCCAGCAAGCCTCGTCCATCCTCCATCCTCGCTCCTCGATGTGCAATTTAGGAATTGAGATGTCCTTCAAGATGGCGTGCTGAGATCAATTTCCGGGTCACACGCTCCAGGATCGAGGATCGAGTCGAGGAGCAAAATCACAGCAAATCCGCCTATATAGGAGAAGAAGAAGAAAACGGTAAACAAGCAAGCATTGACACCAACGCTGATGTTAATATTGTTAGAAGTTAGTTAGTTAGAATTAGTTTGCATAGAACACATGAAGTCAGAGGAATGCACCTTATTAGCCTAGACACTTTGTTTATTCAACAATTTATTTTAGTTTTTGCTTAATGATGCTGTTTGACCAACAACAGTGTAGGCCTATTGATTATTGACAAATATATTGAAATTTGGGCTACCTCTTCTCCACTCTGTAGGGCAAGAGCCTGCAGGACTTAAAAATCAGGCAAAGGCATAAAATAAAAAGTGTGCAACCTGTTTCAGTGTTGTCAAGGTAACGTGATAATGTGTCAAAGTGCTGTCCCGTTCCTGTTTACAGCATTTTGAACCCTTGCAGCCTCTTAAACTCAATCACTTTCAAAGTGACGTCAGTAAAGTCTGTGAGGGTTCAGGGTTCAGGGCTTAGGGCTTAGGGGGGACATTGAGATTGGGCCTCACAGGGTGTTAGTTCAGCCTAGTGGCAGAGACTACGCTGCCCATGGGTGGACGCTACTGGGATCTGCGTGGTGTGATCTGCCCATGTTTGCACCATATTCCCAATAAAACATCCCTTACAAATACAAAAATATCTTCACAGATCGCTGAAACCAACACACCTTAAAACGACTCCATAGGCTCAGTTACACTGTGTGAACTGATTACTTTGTATGACACTATTGTGTGAGTGTAAGGGAATTTAAATACATGTGTAGAAAGTTTTGTCAATATATTTAACGTTTGTTTAAAAACTCTTTTAAATAAATTATAATGAGAAGGGCCTTTTTCCACTTGAGCCCACCCAAATGTGTGTGCAGGTCCCTGCTCACGTGTGTTCACCTGGGTTAAATAAATATCTCATCAGAGAGGGAATATTGTTTAGCTTGGTTTTAAATATCTACGTCACCTGAAGCGGACAAGCTGATATTTCAGCGTCCACAAAGCGTGTGTGTGATTATACGCTGTGCAGTTACAGTAGATTTATTTACGCTGTGCATCTACCTCCTGCTGCATCCTGTCAAATCTTGTAATCTGTCCTGGCAGTACATTATATATATTATTCTGATGCTTCACATCATGTGTGTTTTCTATCTGTGCAGTTCTCCATCACATATATTTGTATGAAACGTGTACAGAGTGAACTCTTACTTTATTATTATTTTATGTGTACTTTTGATCCATCACTTTTTTCCCTGTACGTGTTGAATCTTCAGCTGCTCTAACAAGTTTATTTATCTGAAGAACTGCTTGATTAAAATGATGATTTCTCTGGTTTGAAACTGTTGGAAACATTTTGGATGATGTAAGAACTCAACAAAATCTGAAACAGCTCTGGTGGTTTTTATAAGTTTTAATGGTAAAAAGTTATATATTAATCTTAGTTGATTCTTCCCTTTTGTCCCTGAGACCAGTGTCAGTCCTTAAAGCCTGACGGCTCTTGTTTTTCTCCACTTCACTGTTCCTGGAGGATCAGTGATAGTTCAGTAACTCACACTTGGCTCACAGCGTTTCAACCTCTCGAGTCCTTTCATTAGAAACAGATGGTTCCTGTCTCTTTTCCATACTTGGCATCTTTTCAGACTCTCTCAGCATTTTCCATAAGTTGTGTTCATGCTTACCATCTTGTTGTGTTGTAAAGAAGCACAGTGATATTCTGCCGTGGTTGAATGTGTAAGTTGAGTTTCTGTGATCCTGATATTCACGTCCTGCTCTTGGAAGCTCGTTACTGAGCGACTGCCAAGTGCTCCTCTCAGGGTCTGCAGACTAATCTGTCAGGGCAGCGATGAGATCCTTATATAGAAGATTGTGAAGAGGCAAAGAGAGTGATTGGACAGCAGCAGATCTTTTTTTAAAAAAAGGAGGGACGTTCACTGTCGGGTCAGTTTCTCTGCAGACTAACTCAGCAGCGCTTCACTTTCCCAGCAGATCCAGTCCTGCCTGTGTTGGTAAAAGGTGAAACCAATAGTTTCTTCTTGTGTCCCGGAGGCAGCAGCACATTGCTGGATCAGTCAGCTGCTGTTTGAGGCCTTTCTAAAATATCTGAGAGAACTCGCAGCTCCACGAGGTCCCGCAGCGCTTCTGTATCTGAAGAGGAGAGGAGACCTGCTGGATCTGAGAGACCAGGACCAAGAGCGGGATGGAGGAGGACAACCAGGACCCGGAGCCCCGGAGCAACAACGTCCCCGGAGGACAAACAGCAGGCTCGAGCTCTGATAGCACCGATGTTCAGGTCAGTGTTCATGAACACAGCTAGCAGCTAACAAGAAGCTAACGTGGCGTTAGCTCGGCCTGGTTCCGACACGTAGCTTCATATTGACTGTAAACAAGATGTAATGTAGCAGGATTCAACAGTGGAGCCATCAGAACCCCGTATCTCTACAGAACCCACACTTAATGTGACGGTCGGACCCGGAGAGGAGGAGGAGGAGGAGCAGGAGGAGGAGGAGGAGGAGGTCTCTTGTAGCCTCCTCTCATCTGGACCTTTGCAGTAATGTTGTATGTGGTTCTCATATCGCATAACATGAAGACTTCATAGTCTTTCTTCAGGTAGGACTTTATTAAAAAATGTATTCGGTGTTTTGACTTATTAGGCCAAACACCGAAAAGTGCATCATTACTCTAAACCTTTTATAAATGTGCGTAACTGTGTTCTCATTTGTGCGTTTCAGTTTACGCCCCCCCAACATTTCAAAATCTGTGTTTTGTCCCCCTCACTTTTTTTTGGCGATTTTTGGAGTCTGCTCAGAGTGGTTTTGGTGGTTTGAGTTAATCAATCAATCACACACTCTGCATCAGACATGATGAAACGGTTGAAACGCGGACAAAAATCATGTAGCCTGTAGAAAACATGCGTCAGAAGGCAAAGGTGGTGCAGAAAAGTGCCTCAATATTAGTCTATTTTGTGCTGTTCTTTTTGTACCTGAAGACAGCAGTGGGGACGCCTGCTGCAGGGGGGGCAGTGACTTGTTACAAGTAACATCATTTTGCAAAATAAATAAAATAAAGTAATTGCCACCTTTTCACGTTCCTTTTTTAAAGCTGCAGCCTACTTTTACTCTTTACTGCAGTATTTTCTGTGGGCCAGTAATGTACTTTTAATTTCGCTACATTTTCCATTCATAACTTCACTAGTCTGTAATCTGCAGGGCTTCGTTAACCGAATGAGCCGTCAGGCTGTGCGCGCGCAGTTACGCAGAGGAGCGCCAGGTCTCCTCTGTGGTTATCACAGAGATGAATGAGTTGGGCAGATGCAAACACTTAGAAAATCAGGTAAATACCTTTTCAGTTTAAGCCTTTATTTTTCTACTGAAACAACAGAAATCCAGTGAGTGCACATCATGGCACTGGTGGCCTGTTCGAAACCAGCCTGCGTCGCTCTTTAACAAGCCGGCCGGTGCATTAAAAGCGTCTTTAGTCTCTGCAGAGAAAACGTAAACTTCACACTGTAACATCACTAGAATGATTCTGATAAATTACCAGTACCTGTTGTTGAAAAGAGCATCACTTTCTTTTGATGGATATTCGCCTGTTTGTTTGTTTTTTCATAGCCTACTGTTTAATATCGATGAGTCCATAAACTGAATGTCGCTGGTGAAACTAATCTTGGCTTCACTCAGCAACTACCAGCTGTTATTCAGGAAACAATCATTTTTGAGATGCACAGAGAGTGAAAATATAGTGGATAAAACAGTCCTGTTGGCCTTTACGCATGATGCAGCTTCCTCTGTATGCAGGTTTACCTGCTTCAACAACGAGCTGCTCTCGTGTTACTGCCACAATCATTATCTGCGTTGTAAAGATTATTTAGATTTAGAATAGTCAGATTGTTTTGGCTGCCTGTGCTGCTGCAGAGCAAGTGGTTTGGTTGGCTACATGTCCATAATAAGATACAGGCAATAGCCAGCTGGGCAGCAAGTGTGATATTTTAAATTGATCTTATCAACACAGTCATGGAGATTTAAAAAGGCCATGAGGTGTGCATGTGTCTCTGCTACGTGTCCATAAATGATTGGAAAGTAGTCCGTGTTCACACAGAGATGAGCCTCCTGCAGTATTTGAAGAGGTCAGAGGTCACAGGAGCAGGAGGAGAAAAAACTAGGGAGGATGAGCTTGTAAGTAGCGTTGATAGCTAGTAGACGTAGAAAATTCTAAAACTCGCGTAGTAAAAAGACTTTTCAACTGCATGTCATCAGAGTTTGCTTTGAAGACAGTTCTGTGTTCACAAACATGTGTTGCAGGGAGAGTCAGAGCCAAGTGAGACACAGAAAACATCACAGACCGCTACATCAAGTGTAACATTAGGATAACTAAATACATTTGTACTGTGGCTACATCAACTAGCAGCTGCTCCAGGGTTTTTATGATATGTATTTGGTTTTGTTCTAGTTATATTATACTCCCTCTCTCTGACCCGCTCCCTCTTTGAGTTTTCATATAATCTCCCCTCTCCATCTTCTGTCACTGCAAAGAGCCTCTTTCAGCCACACTAAAAAATACATTCTGTTATCAAAAATCATTAGAAATGAGAATTTAAATATCAGGGGGGCATGTCCCCCAAGCCCCGTAGCATTTCAGCGCCCCCCCCAGGTTCAAAGTCGCTCACACACACACACACACACACACACACACACACACACACACACTTTCCTTTTATAGTTCAGAGACCTTTTTTCTTGCAATTAAAATGCAATAAATCAAAACAGCACACACAAATTCAACTGCTGTAACTGGAATTAATATTAGACCCGTGGTAAACTACTTAGATTACTGTTATATGAAATTATAAAGAATAAAGTAACTTCATATAATATTTACTAAAGTTTTTTATATTTTATTTTTTTACAATCACTTAAGCACTGCTTTCAGAACCTAACACAGGGACAAAATCATCACTTGTAACACAGGCTGTCCAGTGTTCAAAACATTGCATTTATATATTTAAAGAAACTTTGCACTTGCAGAGTCATTGGTTCAATTAATCATGAAATACTATAGGAACATTCATTTCGATCTCCTACACAAAAGATACTGCTAGTTTCACTGTGTAGATGTTTGTACAATCAAATATTGTATTGCAAAATATGTGAAACATGTTTCACGTCACTGTACAGGGTGTCCGCGGGGTCTTAAATTCGTAAAAGGTAATAAATCAATTTAGCGAAAATAAAGGCCATTAAAAAGTCTTGATCGCCATTTAACAGGGTATAAAATTTTGTGGCTATGCTAATTGTTCAAAACATGGTAAGACTGAGCTCTGTGGCAGCTTGAACAGCCCATTACTCAAAAACAAGAGCAAGATGCGCCGTCAGCAGGTGAAGCAGTAAGACAGCAGACAACAGGGGGAAATATAAGCAGCATATTGGTTTGGCTAACGTTAGCTGGCTATTTAGCTACATCAGTGCCTTTTTATTGAAACACGTTCAATTTTCATAAAGCCAATGCGCTCGTCATCGTCACTTTTCGTGAACAGATTATTCACAGGCTGGATGGAAATTTTTTTTTTTTTTTTTTTCTAAAAAGTTTGATGTGCTACAGCAAACTTTCCAAATGTTGAACTAATCCTTCTGCCTAAATAGTTATTATTATTGATGAGTTAGTAGCCTACTTAAAATTAAAGTTAGACTGACTAACTAACTAACTGTAGAATATTTTTCTTCCACAAAGTAATGAATAAAAAAAACAACCCCAAAATGAAACTGGAATTAATATAATAGTGGTAAGCTATTATACTATTATAGAATATAATGATTATAGATTATAATTAATATACTAACAACATATAATTAACATTAATTTAAAAGCCAGGATACCATTGTGCCAATATGTGCTGCTTCTAGCTGCCTCCTCCTCCTCAGAGCAACACGTTCCCCTTGTTCTATTTTACATCTGTTTTTATAAAGTTTACACAAATCAGCTTTAGGATGCAGACAGCAGCTGTTGATCGCAAATGTCTGTGCCACACCGCCTACACTACCAACGTTATCCATCACTCAGTTTATTCTCTTCACCTTTGTTCCCTTCTGGCCTATTTGAATTATGTTGTATTGATACAATGGTCGATGAAAGTTATCACAAAAAGAGTGTTTAGTTTTACAGCCTTAAAATCTGTTTATAGTAAATGTAAGTTAAAGGTGGGCTGTGTGGTTTTTAGTGGCTTCTAGCAGAAGGTTTCAGATTGCAACCAGCAGCATACGGTTTACATATTTCTGAAAATAAGTTACAATATGATAATGTATTAATCGTTTCAGTCAACATCTGCCATTTCAGGCTTCTTCTTCGTCATTAATGAAGAGTCTTTGGGTTTTGGACTGGAGGTTAAACAAAAGAAGCAATTAGAACACGTCTTTGAGCTCTGGTAGATTGTGATGGGCATTTTTCACAATTTTGTTAGATTGTACGAGAAAACATTTGGGCACCAGAACAAAGCAGCGAATACATAGGTCGCAATACATGGACTAAGCAGGGACCATAGTTCAAGAAGATTAATAAATAAATAGATAATAAATACTAAGTAAATAAATAAATAAATACAGAGGTTTATGCTTGGCAAATGTCTAGTTGCCTGATGGCAGAAGGAATAAAACAGAATTCAGCGTTAAACAGAATTCCTGACTAAGAACATAATCAGAATGACTCAAGACCTTCTGGAGCTCTGGAGTCTGTCAGCTGAACTCCAATGATCTTGGAGCAGATTTTAACAATGCTGCTGAGGCTATTCTTGTCCTTCACAGACAATCCATAAAAGAAAATGTTAAGACTTTCAATAAATGAATAATAAAAGTTACAAAGATTAGATAAGAAGAGACATTAAAAGAATTTAGCTTTCGCATCAAGTGGATTCTTTGTTGCACCTTGAACTTTTGAACTTCTTTGCAAGTGAAAAATAAATTATTAGTGAAACTATGTCCCTCTCCTTGGTGCAGTCATTTATTCTAAATATAAACTAGTAGCAGAGAAAACATGCACATTGTAGCATACTATCCTTTGCTGTTGCCTGCTCCTGTGATAAACCTAATGAATACTAAAGAAGACCCTGGTCTCTGTGTGAATTGTACATTTCTACAAATTAATCAATGTTGAGTATTAAACAATTGTGTGAGTGAGGGAGTTAAAATAAGAGGGAAGGAAGTCAGAGTTGTTAAACTAATAAATAATTATGAGAAGTGTCCTTTTTTTCACTTGAAATGTAAAAACAGTATCCCAAATTAGAGTGCCAATTTAACTCAATTC